CAAGTCGCCTCCTTCATCTTCGCCTGAGCCTCCTCGTACAAAGCCTTCGCCTGGCACAAAAGGCATGTTGTTGCATCACCCACAAGGTGGACACAGGCCGACCAAACAGCTTTAAAAAGCCGCTGGATGATTTCCGAGGTGACATGTCTCCGCTTTTTCCTGAGTGAGCGACCCGCTTCTGCTGCTCCTGCAGTGCCAAGCCGACCTGAACAGACAGGCTGGGTTTCTTACGGCATCGCTGAGTAAGAAGCAGCCCAAAGAAGCAGTTCACGAACTTCCCGGGCTCCAAGCCTCTTCGGCTTTTCTCTTGGCATTTTGCAGCCGCTCGTTCGCTCGAATGGCCTGTGACTGCGCGCCACCGTGTGACTGCGTGGACCAACATCGCTTCCGGCTTCTTGCTGGGCTCTTGCATCTGCTATTGCAGAATCTTCTTGAAATGGCAGGAAGCCTCCTTTTGCTTCTCCAGCGATGCTTGCTCTGCGGCAACAGCCTTCTTTTCAGCCTTCACAGGTCTCTCTCCAAACTCAAACCAAAGCGACATCCGCAAGCCACTCCCACATAAACGGCGAGCGGCGCACCTCGGACCGGGCCTGCTCCCTGCGTGTCCGGTCGACATCCCTGCGGGGCTGTCGGCTTCTCAGCAGCTTCGGGAAGTGCATTCAGGCTTCAGGAGGGCCAAGGGAAACGTCCTCACTCTTGTCGAAGCTGCGCCACAGGTTTGCTCTCTGAGCCGACCGTAACCCAGACACTGGGTGGCTTCCGTCTTCCCATGCTTGCCACGCCATCGATTGATGAACCCAGCGTCATGCAACTGTTGTGAAACAATCTCGTTGTGTCGGGCTGTCGTCTGCGACTGCGACTCTCTTTCTTTCTGGGCATGAAAGGCCAGGCCAACGTGTCTTGTCTAGGGGCAAGCCCCTGTGGGGAGCTAACCCTTTGTTGAAGGTCCGCACAGTTGCAGCTGGGTCCCCGAGCTCGCGTGGGCAATTCCCCGAAGTGTGGATGAAAGTATCACGATGAGAGGAAGGGCATCTCGCCCTGGCTCTGTCTCTGTCTCTCTCTCTAAGTCGCGCATTCTCTGCCAAACGTACTGTGTGTATATATATATATATATATTGGCAGGGAGCTCAAGGATGAATCTGAAGGGGGCCCTTCCCAAGGCTCCGTGCCCGGACCCAAGCAGATTTCAAACAACGCCTCAGTGCCGGCGCAATCGAAGGTTGCGGTGCACCTCGGCAAAGGGATGAGTCCGCTGAACTTCGTGCTTGTCCTGGAGGGAGGAAGCCGGCAAACGGCAAGCTTGCACCGCATTCCGTAAGCTATAGCGGTCAGCATCTTGCACGCATGCGGCCAGAGTGGCTCTGGATGGTGAGCTGGCCCGGAAGCGCCTCGCCGTCGCTCCTCCCGGACATTGCGGCTGACTGCTCCGCAAATTGCAGTGAAAGAATCCGGCTCGAGGATCTCTGACTCGCATTTGCAAGTCTGTGCTGTAGCAACATGAACTCGACGAAACTGCAACAGCTCTTTGGCTGCGAGTTGGTACGACTGAGAGCCCTCTAAGATTTGCAGCAGCAGCCGCAGTCAGTCCTTCGGCTGGCAGGGTAGTCCTGGCACAATTCCCCAACTTCTTTTGAGGTTGCTGCAGGCAGCAGGCCCACAGGTTCTTTCTTGGCTGGGAGGAAAGTTTTCCGAGACTGGACATGTCTGCAGTTTGCAGCCGATTTTCTGTGTCGTGCTTTGCGCTGACAAATCCAGGTCGTTCCAGATTCGAGAACTGTGGGTCAGTGCCGGAGCAGACTGCTTCTCCCCACACCTGGACCACGCGATGCTGGTACCTTAGGCAAGAGGCTTCAGGATCTTCAGGCCGTCGGACTGCGAGTCCTCATGCTATGCGGCCAAAAACCTCCAGGCGTCCGGCTCGGTCAACGATCTAGCTGAATCTGACTTGAAACGAGTGCCCCGTTCCCAGACAAGACTGGAAACACTCCAGGTCTCAAGGCACTTTAAAGGAATCTTCAGAATGGCCACAGGAGGGTTTCTCAGGATCCATGGTCCCAAGTGCCCGGACCGTTCAAAACTCGGCCGGACAAATCGGTTCTTGGTGGCCACGAGCATGCCTTGGATGATTTTGCCTCCTCGGCCAACTTCGCCATGAACTCGAAGTCCGACAGCAGCTTCTCGCATGCGTTTTGGTCCCAACCGAGAAGCTTCATGGCATCGTGCACTTTAACATGTAAGAGTAGCAGTCCATGGCTGGCCAAAATCGGCCGCTGCTCTGGGCAACCTCGACCGTGCAACCCCTCGTCTCTAACATCATGGCAGGAACACGCCATCATGTTGGAGAAGGCGGGTTGCGCCGTCGGAATGGCCGGAAAGATCATGAGGCCCAGGAAGCGCTGGGCCTCCTCGTCCGACATCCAGTCTGTGAAGCAGGTCTTGGCGATGCGCACAGCCTGGTCCACTATGAACTTCTTGGGCATATATGATCAACTCCGCACGACACAGCACATGTCGCCACGGTTGTTGCAGTTGAGATCCACAATGATCCACACGATTTATGCGTCCAGACCGGAGCTGCGTCAGATCATCCTGGAGGAGGCCCCGCCCGTGTCAGTCTGCTTGCACATGACGAGCTGCCAAACACTCCTGAAGCCCACACTTGGGAGACTTCGCAAGCCTGAGAAAGTAGAAACGGCTCTATGCAAAGAAACTCTACACTCGAAAGGTATCCCGGAGAAAAGCTGCTGGAGCCGCAGATGTGGACAGGACATTTCATGATACATTCACAACACGCAATACGATGTGGTGTTCCGGCATTAGGAGCCGCGGTCACGAAGACGGAAAACCCTGCTCGAGTTCTGCCTGCTGGCTCTTGGCATCGCGCCTCCAGCGAGAGAAACAGCACGAAACTCGGCGCTGAGGGCAGCAATCCACTTCAACACGGTACTCAACCCTGCACAAGATGCAAGAGGTGGCAAGCCTGCGCCACTACAGGCATGCTAAGGAATCTAATAATTCTGGAAAAAATGGAAAGCTATCTTTCCGAAGCAATCGAGCTTCAGCTGCTGTCTTCCTGGAACATATCAAACCTAGTCCAGCCTTGTGCGCTAGAACCGCATGCGAGATAAATACAAGCCAAATTGAAAATCCCCTACTCAAGTTCCGCTACACGGGCCTGTCTTGCACTTGGGCTCGACCTGCACACAGACGGCTTGCAGCAGAGGCGGGGCATTCACAAGTTTCCCAGCCGAGAGTTTCGACAGGGATGGGATTCCTGGAAGTTCCTGGGTACGTTCCTGGAAGTTCGACTGGAAGCCCTTTAAAAGACGACAGGCCACGAATTCACAACGAGAACCTCTGCCAGGGCCCAGGCTCCGAGAACGGGTCCTTGCAGGGAACCAGAAGGGAACCTCTGCTCTCAGCGGAAAGCCGATCCGACAGAGTCCTCTCCATCCGGCTTCGATCGTTTTCGCAGAGCTGGCCACCCTGCACACATCGAAAAGAGGGCTAGGGGTAGCGGTTTTGGCTTGGCGAGAGTTTAGACCCAAACTCTCTTGGTGAGCGACACGTCACTTCTTCAACATCCTCACGGACTAAGTGGGACACAGGCAGACGAAAACAATGGATTTATGCTTGAGTGTCGGCTCACGGCGCTCGCTTGCGTTGCCGTGTGTAAACTGTCACAGACCTTGCACATACTTGGCACCTATCACGTGCCGGTCTATGTTCTTTTGTTATTCTCGCCTGGCCCTCACGCTGCCCTCACATGTACAAATCGATGTACCCTTCCAACGAAAACCCGAACATCGGCCTCTGACCAGCGCTCTTCGCGGGGGCGCTCCCCGCCTGGACTTGGCCAAGGGGGCACAAGGGGCACAGGAGCACCGGCACTCAGAGCCCACGCCTCGCCGGTCGTCACGCCGCTCCTCATATCTCCGATCATCTCGGCGCTCTTGCCCACGGTCGTCCCGTCGGTCATCTCGCCGATCATCGCGTCTGACTTCGCGTCCGTCCTGCCGACCATGATGGGATCCATCATCATAGTGCCTGGAGCCCTGCTGCTCTTTCGTGGGATCGCGTCGGTAATACTCCTGACGATTGTCCCAGCGCTGCTCCTGTCGTCCATACCCATCACGATCCGGGTACCGCTCCTCTCTGCGATCACCTCTGCGGTCACCTTGGCGATCATCTCTCCTCTCATCTCTTTCATATGCTCGATCTTCTCTTCGCTCATATCTGCGATCGTCACGCCTGTCATCACGGCGATCTTCCAAGCGAACTGTGCGTTCCTGGCGGTCATCACGATGTTCCCTCGGATCTCGCCGATCATCTCGCCGGTCGTCTCGCCGCTCGTCCCTCCGGTCCTCTCGCCGGTCATCTCGGCGAGTCTCGCGGCGCTCGTCTCGCCGGTCGTCTCTGCGCTCATCTCGACGATCTTCCCGGCGTTCCTCTCGACGATCTTCCCGTCGGTCCTCCCGGCGGTCGTCTCGTCGCTCTTGTCTGTCATCCCGGCGCTCTTCGCGACGGTCTTCACGCCGCTCCTCCTTACGGTCGTCTCGTCGCTCAGGTCTTCTGTCCTGACATGGAAGGTGTGCGGCGATTGCAGAAGAACATCACCACAAGATCTGTATGTGTCTCTCAGGCGCAAGCATGGCCGCCATGGCCATGGCCGTGATGGCCCCGCTCGTCCCGGGGCCTCTCCTCGGCAAAAGAGGCCGAACAAGAACACCGAGAAAGAAGGGCTAACCCGTTTGGGCCTGGCGCAACTCCCTCTCCTTATTCAGCTTCTCCTGCATGTCTGCTTTGCAATTGGGCTTTCGCAAGCTCATGTCCGGCCTCTTTCTCGACTGCAGTGCGAACTGCCGTCTCAACCTGTGCAGAGACGACCGAATCGTATAGTCGTAGAGCGTCTCAACCTGATCGCGCTACTTGGCCTGGAATGGCCCCGAAGCCTCGGCAGGCACCTCCAGCTGAATGTTGCGACTTAAAAATATCAAAGTCATGGTCGGTCCGGACCTCGAATGCAGCGACCTCTTTGGCAAGGCGCATGGCGTCCTGGCACCGCGAGCTTGCAATGCCGATTCAGGAGGGCCAGCGCCACGACCAGCAACCCCAAAGGCGATAATCACGGACAACTTGAGAAGAGGGTTACGAAATGTAGGGCAAACAAAGAAAGCAGAGTCGATAGAGCTCGGCTGTTATTGCGTGCATCATCGGAAGCATGGATGCAAGCACATATGCATTGCCATGAAGCTTGAAACCTGCAAGATGATACAAGTAGCAGTCTTCTGCATTACACCGGCCCACATGCAGATACACCCTTGTCGTAGTACCTCGACCGCCCATTGCCTCCGGAATGTCCCTTCATAAGCGATAACTCGGTGGTAGCTTGGCTGAAGCTTTGCGTCAGACGTATCCTCTCCCCCTGCCCCCCTTTAACTAATATACAAAAACCAAAACAGGTCCTGGACATGGGTCACTACTACCTAGGTGAATGGGTAAACGACAACTCCCGCCAGGCTCCACAGAGCTCCGCTTTCGCGAAAACTGGCCCAAGCGCTACTTGGTAGCAACACGGCTAGCATAACAAGTAACTGGCCGCAGTACTTAGCTTCCAACATCCCGTGGCCTCTTCCGAAGCGCATTCCAGGGCGGCCCAGCGTGGGCCGCCCTTGTGACCGTGCACCTCGAGTCAAGTAGAGTATGGGTGAGCCCCGTGACCGACATTTGGCTTACTGTTTCTCTGGCAGAAGTCAGAATCTGCGTGGGGAGGTGGCCACCTGAGAGTCCTGTTGGGTTGCACAAGGCATATCGGCTTGGCAGCAGCATCCAACGCCAGAAGATCCACAAGAAAAAAGCTGGAGACTGGCGCCGACAAGATGCCCTGCTGCCTGCTCTTCTCTAAAGGAAGAACACTTGCGCGAGCATGTACAAGCGGATGTGAGAATGGCTTGCATCTGTTTCACCAATTACCACAGGTGAGACATATCTCCAAATAGACACGACCCATACTGCCTATGACTATCCAGAATCGGTCTGGGTGCCGGCCCCCACTCCCGCTGCCGTAGGCCCCGGGCTGTAGCTGTCTTCATTCGATCCGAGGCAGGGAAGCGCCGGAACCAGGCATAACTCTTGGCCTTTGACAATATCAACTGAACCCTGCCTCGGAGGAAGCAGACAGAAGCCGACTGAGCTGACTGCATCCGGGGTGAGGTTGCGGACAATCACGAAGCGCTTGGTGCCACCAACAAGCTGCTCACCTCGGCAGCGGGCTTTGGGTCCCCCTGAGGAATTCGACAAGCCCTCGGACTGCTTGGATCCGCGCTGGGCTTCTCGTGCCTGCCCAGCTGCATCGGCTGGCTACTCTGCAGAGCCTGGCGTCACACAAAAGCGTTGGGAACATCTGTCGACTTCAGGCTACAAGGTCACATTACAAACCCCATGATGGTGGACTCGAAGCAGAAACAAGTTTAAGGGGCCGACACGCTGCTGAGCTTGTAGCGGTCCGAATTGCGCATGCCGCTCTTCCTTGTCCAAGGCACAGGAGGCACATGGACTGACATTGTCGATGTCGACTTTCACAGGAGGCTGTGGCACTTGACGGCAACGGAAAACTGGGCAGGGGACTTCTGAATACAGCTCCTGGGCAACGCATGCAGCGAGCCCATGCGACTGCCGAAATGTGTGGCTCTTGCATTTGAAAACTTGGCGCTACCCGAAAGCACAAACTCTTCCAGCATCCTCACACCATCGCATCCACTTCAATTCCCCTTGGCAGGGCACGGCATTCAGTGGCTCCGCCCCAGGCTGCGGCATGTGACCGCGGACTTTAGCTGCCAGCCTTGGCACACAAAGGCTGACAGATTCAGATGCTAAGTGAGGCTTGGAGATCGAGTTGCAGAGAGGTCTAGAGTCTACAGGTGCACGCATTTTGAGGAATGAGTTGGGCAAAAGCTGGAGAGCGAAGGCTCTTCTCGATCCTAGGTCATGCCCCCACCTACGTGACTGGATCCTGCAAACGCTTACAACACAGGGCAACAGAGGAAGTGCCAAAACTCAAGAGGAACAGGCGATTGGTGCTTGTCATCACATCGCAGAACGCGAGACCACTTGAAGCATCGCTGCACGGCATTGGTGCCTAGTTGCGACAATCCAATGTACTAAGCCTCGAGATGCTTCGAAATCTCTCTCGACATGAAGGCACTGTCGACCGTCCAAGTGGCTGTTCGGCGATTTCCTGGGAGCTCCTTGGCAACGTGCATGCCGGTCAGAGCCAGGCCAGAAAAACCTGGAACCCCTCACCTTTCTTATAATCAGCTATTGCACTGACAGTGTTATATAAAATACACTGTGGCTGGCTTTGTGGCTGCCCTCTGCTAGCTGTAAGGAGCCTTCGTTTCTGGATACAAGCATAGCTAAAAGACGTCGCTGAATGCAGCCTTGGTGCATGCACATTAGTGCATACCGTTTTTCCTCAGAAAGTTGCAACAAAAGGCATCCAAGCTCAGAAGCAACGCAACAAAGAGCAAGAGATCAAGACTGTGTAAGTGCAAAGCATTGTTCGTCTCGCCGGTGACCAGGTCTTTGTCGGTTTGGAGCAAGTCGCGCGTCAACTGCGGCTCTCGAGTGCTTTCTTGCTACAAGCCTCCCGACAACCCCTTCCGAGAAGAGTGCTTGCAGGTGCTGGTTCAAATTTCCCGAGCCAGAGTGAACTGCAGAGAGCTGCTGCACTTCCTGTGGCCTTCGTATTTCGTAACCCACAAAGGCCTTCTTGATCGCAATGTAGCCGAAGCGTGGAGGAAGTGGGCTGGCATCCATGAGGGCTTGACTTTTGAGGCTGGTGGCAACCTGCTTTGAACTCTGCAGGGCTGTAGGGGAAAGGGCACTGCAGCAACGAGCCGGTCGCACAAGATCCGCAACCAGTAATTGGTGCTTTCCTCAGCGGTCTCCGAGGTCTGAGGTCCACAACAGCCCTCTCCACATCTCTCCACACACTCTCTGATGTCGTGCAGAGTTCGAGGATTGCATGCTTGCTTCGGCACATCGGGGTGCACATTGGCATGCTGCTGGTCACTGGGTCACTGCAAGGCCCGGGCTCCACCCTCGCCATCCTCGAGACTGCTCAGGAAATCTCGGTGCTTGGCTGTCTGAAGAAAAACCCCTGCCGGAATCCGACAGTCAGGGAAGGGAGGGGGAGGGTGAATAATGGCCATGCGGGGCCTTGCTTCCCAATGCAACAGCGAAACGCAAGTCCCGCGACCCAAGTAACAGCTCTGCAGCGAGTCTCGTATATCGGCCCTTAGCACATAGGTAGTTCTCCAAATTATGGTCCCTTTTGGGGTCCCCAATATAGTACGGCACCCTTATCAAAAGGACCCCAAAAGGGGCCCTCATTTCGAAACTACCGACATGGCTGGAATCCCACATCTCCGAAACCCGCAGTCAGGGCCACTTTGCTGGTCACACCACAGGTCGCCCTTTAAGACAGCACGGCAGGCGCAGGGAAACTGTCACACGGCACCCCCGTCCTTCTGCACATCATTCTCTGCTTCTGACCTTGCAAAGGCATGCCGGCAACACGCAGGAAGGGCAAGGAGCTGACACTTGTTGGAAAGTTATCTGTGTGTGGCACTGTGGCACGGGCCGATGTTGGGGGAATCATGGCATGCTGAAGCTGATCGCACTGAAGCCGTCGGGCCGGATCTTGGCCGGATGCCCTGGAAGCTGCTCAGCAGGAGCCCTGGTTCGTTCGTTTCCTTCCCAGTTTCAAGGCCGCCGGTCAAGTTGCCAAAAGGCCATCTTGCTGGGATCAAAACCATGTTTTAGCACAGCTCGAGTCTCGGTGCCTTAGCTGAAAAAAGCTGCCTTAGCTCGCACAAAAGCAGATGGGGGAAGGCACTGCAAAGCACAGGACGAAGCTGCACTCAAGAGCAAACACTCGTCTGCAGGTCTGGGCCGAACAGGACTTGACACCCTGCACGAGTGCGTCAAGACTTTGCGGAGCATGCCGATGGGGAAGCCATGGAAAAGCCACGGAAAGCCGAGCCGTGTCCATGCAGAGCGTGTTCTCCATGATCTCACGACATCACATCACGAGTGGACCGGCTGCACTGCCCGAGCAACAACGCCGCAAAGGTTGCGAAGCAATGACCGTCTGTGTGCTTCAACAGATGCTTCCTGCCTGAAGCCGTGGACCAGGACTGGGACAGGCCCAGGCTTCATAAAGTCCCTCGCGGCATAGGAAACAAGCCGTTCGCATGCGCACAGGTCGAGGCGTTGGTACGGAGCACGATCAGGCGTTGGTCACGGCAGAGCGATTGTCAAGCCCCGTGACTGGCAAGAGACGAATGTGGTGCTCACATGTTGCGTGTTTGAACGTTCCCAAGAGGCTTCTGCCGCCAGCCACGTTCTCTGCCGCAGAAAGAGGTACGAGAGGAGCTCACGACGATAAGCTCAAACTAGAAAGGAGTCCGGCAAGGAACCGTTGGTTGCAGCTCGGGAATTCGAACGTCGCCTGTGCTCTGCTCCCTGCACTTATGATCTCTGTCGACTTGCAGAACACCTTGAAAGTCTTGTTGTAGAAGCCGCCTGTTTGCGAAAAGACACTTTTAGATCACCAGCACATGCGTCCACAATGTGGGCCATGCCAGCAGCAAGATTGCGCGTCAACAGGGCAAAGCTCGAAACATCTCACTCGACGGGAGTTTGGACGTGCTCCTGCACATCAAACTAACTTCGTTAACCCTTGTCTTTATCCTAGATGAAACTCACACCGCGGATCTGCAAGCTGCACAGCATGTAAAGGTGCGCAAGCCAAACTGCCATGCTACTTTGTGATCCCGAGAAGTGGGTAGCCAATGTGGAAGGTGCAAAGCAGACGCTGAAGAGCTCGGTTTCGTTGGACGTACTCCGGAAGCACCAGCATCCCGTTGTCGCTTTTCAATTCAAGCCGAAGCAGGAGCCGTCAAACTTCACAAAAAACAGGCGCTGAGCATCTTGGAAAAACTCACATTGCCCTTCCATGCTTATCATAATGTGATTGTCGCAGCCGTTGCAGATCGTTGCAGGTAGTACATCTTGCCCTTGGACTCTTCTAGGCGCTAAGACAATCGTCTCCCCTCCAAAAACTCGTGTGTCTCATGCCGTTGCCACATCTGGTGCAGGTAGTAGAACTTGCCTTTGAGCTCTTCCAGGCGTCAACGAAAATGGCTTATGTGAAAGGCCTCGCATGCGCTCCATGTTTATCATGTGGTTGCAAGGTAGTAGTAGATCTCCATGCCTCACAACAAACTCCCCCCAAAACGTGCCGCAGCTGATGCACACAACTTGCCAATGGGCTCTTTCGGGCATCAAGACGAACATCTCCCCTCAACAACCTCACATTCACCTTGCATGTTTCGCATGTGGTTGCCCCAGCTGATGCAGGCGCTGGATCTTGCCTTTGGGCTCTTCCATGCGTCAAGACAAAAGGCTCCCCTCAAAAACCTCACATTCGTCTTCCATGTTCTCATGCCGTTGCCACAGCTGATGCAGGCCATGGATCTTGCCTTTGGGCTCTTCCAGGCATCAAGACACACGGCTTCCCTGAAAAAACTCACATTCACGTTCCGTTTTTCATGTGGTTGCCGCAGTTGCTGCAGATGGTGGATCTTGCCTTTGGGCATCAAGACAAACATCTCCCCTCAAAATCCACTCCACATTCAAATCTTCACATTCATGGCGGAAGCGTTGCCCTTTCCACATGTTCCCGTGCACAGGCTTGGACCTGGGAATGAATAAACGACTCCCGTGACATGGTCTCTTTGTTCTACCCCGATTTTAGCACCTTTAGCACCCTCACTGGGCCGGGGCTAGTCCGGTTCGCCGTGGTGAGAGCATGGACCCCCTCTGAGTGCAGCACTGGCTTGCATCTCCTGGCTCAGAACTTTGAGTTAAAAAGCGTTGCGACAATGCAGTAGGCCTTCTCAGGCAGCCTAATGCGTAGCTTTGGAGTCTTACTGCCGTCTTCAGAACGGCACATCCTAGGTTCCTGGTACGGTCGAGGACAGGACGTGGCTGTCCGTCATGCTTCGATGATTCAAACATCCTCACGGCTTGATCTCAAGAGAAACCGAGGCAGCCAGACCGTCCGCACCGAAATCCACCTCTTCGGCACACCGCCTTGCAAAGTGCAGCCCTTCGATTCAACATCCCTCAAGCGACCACATGATCTGGTCAAGAACCCAAGCTTCCCATCTCTTCCCATACTTCAGGGCGATTCTCGCACGATTGAGAAGGCTGCTGTTTGTGAGTGCACACTGCTTCTGATGCTTCTAGGAACTTTTGTTGAAAGCTGTTCACATCGGAGCGCAAGGTCGGGATCCCTCTCACTTTGCTGGAAACGCTTCGATGGCTTCGCGGTCCCAGAACTGTAAGGAACTCCAAGCCCCGACATCTTCGATCGGAGTTCTTACGGACCGGGTCATTTTCACGCCCAACACAGAACGTGCGGCAACCCGGCACCTCGCAGCATCGCCTTCCGCGTCCATGGTGGATCTTAGCAATCAGTGCGAGGATGTGGTTTACGCCAAGAGCGCATCCTCTTTGCACCGGGGGTGCAGCAGCTCAGGAGGTGGCTCAGGCTCCAGCTCGCCTCGGATTTGCCACACCCTGGCCTCCCCACTCGACCTCCTGCCTCCCGCCCACTCTTTAGGTCCCGCGCCCATGCCAGGCCAGGAACGTGCTACAGATCAGCTTGCGTCGAAGAGCTTGTAGTGAGGACAAGTGTTGACTTGCTGAGCTGTACTTTGCCATTATCGGTTATGCTTGGTGTGCCTGTAAAAACCACGGCTCAGAATCTCAGGTCGAGCCGCAAATTTTTCAGGATCGAAAAAGGGAGTGACCAAGCACCGGCCATCTTTAGCCGACACATTATGCATTGTAATTAGTCACGTACCTCCTTGGAATACTGCCCTTTCCGCTTCCCAGGAAGGGCCCGGAATAAAAGATGTCTGCCCCCGTCCTGCTCGCCGGCTGCTCATCTGTAGAAGCTAGAATCTAGAATGGCTCGAACTTTGCAAAAGCTGCGCCGCTACACCCAAACCAGGACAACCAAGAGCTCGTCGAGACTTTTTTCTGAGTCTCGGGGGCTTTTGCAGGTCAGCCGGCATTCGAGTCAGGCTTTGCCGTCCCCGCGCCTTGGCTGCGCAGCCGTTGCAAAGCCAACCTGCAGGAGGCTTGGAGGTAGTGGCAGACCTTCTCGAACAACTCTCATTCCGCCCTGCTGCCATGAAGTCTTTCGGGCTAGCAGGTTGCTGCACCTCACACGATTCTAGTTGTGCAGGCAGAGCATTCGTGTTCAAGTTCGGTTGACGTCTCTGGGCGCATCGTACCGGATATTACAAAATGGTGTCACGCAAGGCTGAACCTAAAATGTGTCAACACCCATAACACAAATAACAATATTGCCCACCATGTTTGCATTTCAAGCCTTCGTGCTCTATGGTTACGCTCATTGCTGCAGGAAACTGTATTCCATCGTAGATTTTCATTACATAACAATTCCCACCACTGCATGACTGTCTGCGAAGAAGTGAGGAATTTAGGGTTGCCATTTCCAGCCTGCAGGTTTTCACGGTCATAGACCGTGTAGTACCTCCCACAGATGACATGGATGTGCGACACTCGTAGACCCAGGAAAACCAGAAAAGCGACAGCTAAGCCTATCGCCTATCGACAGGCCCTGACCCACGGTACTTGCAGGGCACTTGCGCAGGAGAGGATCGCCAAAGATAAAGAGGGGCCCTTTCGGCGGTGGCACGTCCATGGTCATCAGCGACAACTGGCCAGCAAATTCCCGGAGCAACCCGGGAACAAGCACTTTTATGCCATGCTGCGCGACGATGAGCCGACGACATCACTGGCCAATAACAAGTGCCGGCATGACCGTGCACGTATGGCCGTCACGGTCGACGTAATCCTGTTGGCGAGTTGCAGCATGAGCGGGCCATCAGCAAAGAATAGATGCTGCGATCAAGAAAACACTTGCCGACGCTGTTCTGGGATAAGCCTCCGCTGTCAGCTTCAAGGTGTGGCCAGCCATGACGAACCCGAGATCCTGGAAAGCAGCTGAGGGATTCTTACGTTCAAAAGGCTAAGTCTCGAGAGGTTTCGTGCCTTCGATACTGGAAAGCCGGGCCCTCGGCCATCACTGGGAATGTATCAGCTCTCTAACAAGCTTTCAAAAACTCTAGCGGCCAATTCGGTCCGATGTTCAGGGCAGACAAGGGCTTGTCGATTTAAGAAAGTGTGCTCAACAGATTCGTTTCTGAACCTCGGCCCTTCCCTTGGCATAGCCCCTGTTCGCGACAAGCTACCATAGATGTCGAGTTTGCATTTGTTTTGCAGCAAACTGAGGTCGCTTGGTTTCGCGGCACATTATTCGGGATCGGTTGTTTGCCACGAAAGAAGATCCTGCTCTTTCGTTATGTTCTCGTCATCCTCTTGGATTAGAAGTACGAGTTCCGTTTCACAACCTGCTCCGCGTTCGCTAGAGCCACTACTGGTGAAGGCTGTTTGCCAACCGGCAACTGGCCCCAGCACACACGTTGGTGAGGCAAAGAGACTCACGGTAGGTACCCACAGCTTCAAGTCCCCGTCTTTCATGTCCAGGTTCACCACATCCACAAAGCATCTGCCATCATAGCAGACTGCTGTTCCCAGCTCGACCAACTTTGCATTGAAGCATCGCCCACACACTGATGGTTTCTCTGTCCAAGATGAATGGTGAGAACACTTGCAGTAAGCAATAAAAAAGCACTAGTGGCCTACGGTGACATTTGTGCCGATGCTATGAACACCCCAGGCCCAGAAATGGAGCTATCGTCGCAGATCTCTGGTCTTGACATACACTGTGTGGCAGGGTGATGCAGGGCCCGGTCCGGCAGCGAGTCGAAGTTGGAACAATCTTCCTTGACGCCCAGCCTGCACTTCTCTGTTCAGGCGAATACTGCATTCCCTGTAAAGACTGGAACTTGCGGAAGTGAACCCACATCCCCGCAAGAAAACAAGCAGCGCCAACAGCAGCTCGCACCATCACGCTTTGGTTCGCTGGACTGAAGTCTTTTCTGAGTTCTGTACGAAACAGTTTCGGCCACAGCGTGACACAATCAATTTCGATCACAACTGGGCCACAACTCTGACGATTCCTCTGCAAACTTCAGAGATGCTCCGGCCGTCATTTCAGGAGATGCGGAGGCCATCGTTTGAACTCGTGGTCCTGGAAAGAGTGCCGTGAAGCTGTGAGTTGCTGATGACACTCCGTGACACGCTAGGAGCAGGACTCCTATCCCAACAAGACAGCGACACCAAAGGATGCTAGTTTTCCGGCTGCAACATGCTGCAACCGCAAGTCTCCCTTCGATCCGGCCTTCCGCAGGCGGATGCACACAACCCTTCGCCCACCGCGGCTTTCGATCTCCCAATCACTCTCATCCTCGTTGATCTCCAGGCCGGGCTCTCCGTCGAAAATGGCCTCTGAACAGCCGGACCCACCGTGGAATTGAGACTCAAGTTCTCAACTCCGGGAAAGGCACTTCACCGGCCACTGCAGCAGAGATATGAGTCTTCAAAAGCCTGGGGCCACAATTTGTTGCTGTCGTTAGACGACTGGGACGTAACTGATGCAGACAACACAGGGATAGCAGGGGACATTACGACACGCCCGTGTCGTAAGCCATGCAGGAGCGACCGGCAAAACCGAGAAACAAGCAGTCGACATCCCTGCTCGAGACGGCAGGATCGATGGGAATGAAGACGAGCATGTCCTGCCCAACAGAAACTACCACCGGTAAGCCACGAGAAAACCTCCAACGTTCTGTGATATTCTGTGTACGTGCATGTAAGAACTGATACGTCACTTTGTGCCATTGTTGACATTGCCACCATCGCTTTCACTGCTACCGCTTCCACCATCACCAGCACCACTGGTGGAAGCGCGTTTCGGGTCCGCTGCTTCGTGTCCGGCGAGTTGCGTTTCAGGTCCGCCATGGTCCGCCGTTCGCACCCGCATGGATGCGTTTCAGCATCCTCAATCGGAAGTTTCGGACACGCCCGTTTGCGTTTCAGCACGCGAGGTCTGTAATTTGAGGGCTTCGGGAAGTTCACACGCGCATCGTCTTTCTGTGCTCTCCACAGGTCCTTCACCCCTCAGCCAGCACCCGCGTCCGAAGCACACACTTTGAATGCTGGGTTTGGCTCATTTGCCGAGAAACTCCTTGGGGTGGTGCCATGGTATAAGGTTTCATGCAAAGTGATGACAAGATGGATCTTTCCCATCTGCGCCTCATGCCGGGGGGGGCATGCAACCCTAAACCTGCGACAACAGCCTCCCCAAAACCTAAACCCCAAACCCTAAATTAAGCGCTGATCCAAACCCAAACCCTACAAAGCTGACCTAAACCCCAAACCCTAAGACCTTCACCCCCAAACCCTCAACCCTACGCGCCCAATCCGAACCACAAAGCCCAAATCCAAAACAAAACCAACTCTCAACCCCAAACCTTCAACCCTGAGATCGCTGATGCCCCAAAACCTTAATCTCCAAAACTACACCCTAAACCCAAAAACCTTAAAGCCTGAGGAACTACACCCTAAACCCACAAACCCTAGACCCTGAGGCCCAAGCCCAAACCCTAAACCCAAAACCCCAAACCCTAAACCCGAAACCCAAAAACCCTAACCCAACCCCAAACCTCAAGATCGCTAATGCCCCCAAAACCATCAACCCTAAACCCTAAACCCAAAAAACCAAACCCTAAAGCCTCAACCCTAGACCCTGAACCCTGACATCGCTGATGCTCAAAAACCCTAAAACCCAAAACCCTGAGCCCCAAGCCCAAACCTGAGCCCAAAACCCCAAACCCTAAACCGCAAGCCCTGAAGCCCTAACCCAACCCTAAACACAAAGATCGCTAATGCCCCCAAAAACCTCAACCCTAAACCCTAATCCCACAAAAAAACCTAAAGCCTCAACCCGAAACCCTAAACCGTGACATCGCTCATGTCCAACAACCCTAAACTGCCGAGAGCGCCGCTGACCATTTGCATGGGCGCTCGAAGCTCCGACCGAGGCCCCCGGCCGAGCGTCCCGTCAGAACGGTGAGGGAGGGTAAAGCCCTTCCCTGCTCTGCCCTGCCCCCTGCCCTTCCCTGCCCTGCCCTGCCCTCCCTGCCCCTGCCCTGCATCCGAACCTAAAACACGCTACGAAAAGTCGTCCTGCTTTCCCGTGCTTTCGAGCAACCTTGACAGGGTGCGAGAGGCCAAGTGTTTGTTGGGAACCCTTGCTTGCTTCTCGTCGAGCGGCCGGCACAGGCCGCGAGGACCCCAACCCGACAGTAATCCATCTCAGTTCTGG